ACACACTAATGAAATCTGGTCTCTATGTATTTGCCTATTCTAGATATTTCATGTTAGTGGGATCATACAGTATTGGCCCTTTTGAAACGGACTTCTTTCAGAAAAAGGTTTTCAAGATTCATCCATGTTGTCAGGTGTATCAGGACTTCATTTCTCTTCATGGCTGAGTAATAGTCCATTGTATGTGAACACAGATAGTCCCCAGGGTACAAAAAAGATCCATTCCAAACTGTGTCTTTAGGAGTTTGTAGGGAAGTTGGAACAAGTACATAAGGTTTTTTATTAGCCTTACTTCAGTGAAAAAAATAGCTTCGAAGTCTTTTCAATGATTTAAACCCATCACATGCAGACAAGTAAAGGTGACTATATTGAAACATTTGTTGCAAGTAGGGGATGGTTCAGTTGTTTCAAAGCAAGACTTCAGACTGGTTTTTCTGGGGTCAGGCACAGCTGAAGAAGCTCAAAGAAGGCGGTGCTCCGCTCAAAAATGGCAGCTGACTGAGTCGCTTTGAATGTGTGTGGCTCTCCACAGGCCTGCCAACAATCCAGTCTCAGGCACAAGGCTCCTGAAAGGGCTCGCTACACCTCATCTGAGTCTCCCATTCCAAGGCTTTGACCCATTATTTTTCCCATTCTGGTTACCATGACAAGTCACCCCAATTGTAAGAATTCAAGTCTGTACCTGTCTCACTTCTTAGGCTATGAGACAACTAGTTTGAATGGGTTTGAGACCTGCTTAAAAGTTCTTTATAAGTCAGCTGTTTGTAACCCAGTTGTTTGTGACCCGGGGACTGCCTGTACCACATTTGGTGCTTTCATTCACCTGTCAATAAACATTTCATTGTTGCTCACCCTTCTACTATTTGAATAATACTGTAATGGACATTGATGTACATGTATCTGTTTGTATTCCTACTTTCAATATTTGGAGTACATACCTAAGAGTGGAATTGCTAACTTATATTACAGGTCTAGAGCTGTAGGATAAGCACTGGACCATTTGGTTGGTTTGAACTGAAAGGTTGGTGGTTCAAACCCACCAGTCGCTCGTCAGAACTCCTATATAGGGTCACTATGGGTCGGAACCAACTCAATGGCACTAAACAATAGTAAAAGTCACATTTTCCAGCCCTTGCTCAGGATTTCACATTAGTTTCACACACACACACACACACAAAATAGCTCTTGTTCAAGTTAACAAATGGGTTTCATTCACAATCGTTCTATAAACAAAAACTTAGTGACCCTGACTTTCCCACTTAAGGCCATTAACCCAAATTACACAAATGTGAAGGAATGTTTTGTGGCTTAGAGCAAGCGTTTACTATTTACTATATAGTTCTATCGATAGCATACGGGTTAGACACCCATTCCTATACACAAATCCAAGGTCCCTGGATGGGGTAAATGGTTTGCATTCATCTCCTAACACAAAGGCTGACAACTCAAATCCACACTATGGTACCAGGAAAGGAAGAACTGATGATCTGCTTTCATAATGATTATGCCAAGAAGACCCTGTGGACCAGTTAGTTTTACTCTGTAACATATGGAACTGCCATGAGGCAGAACTGACCCTGTGACGAGGTTATTTATAAATCCAAATATAATCAAAGTATATATAAAAGATACGCTGAACTATCATTGTACTACATTGTGATCACATGTTTGGTAAATATGTGTATATCATTTCTTATGAGCACAGTATTTATGCCAAGCTAAAGCAAACACGTAAGATTATATCAACAACACCTTGTCTAATTTCCATTTTATCATCACTTACATAAAAAAGTCCAAGTGATAATATATTTACACAAGGGGCTTTAAACAGACCATGAAAAATATGGAATTAAAAAATAATGGAATTTTTCCACTAACCTTTTCAAACTCCCTTGTATTTCATAGATAAATATTCTAATTGTAAACATTTTTCAACAAAAGAGAATCAACTTGGGTATTTTTCTCATTTAGTCTTTACACTAACTTCTTCAGAGCCTTCAGCTATATCTTCACTAAGCCTCCTTCAACATTTTCTGAGTGGCTACTTTGCACTGAGCACTGGGAATAGGATTGTGAACAAGACAGACAGGGTCCCTGAATCACAGCCCTCAGACATCAAAAATTAATGTATGAGGAGTAGCAAGAATAGAAAAGCTTATTAAACAAATCATAAGTCCAAGGAAACTACATTAAACACTTTTCACACAATAAACAAAATTCAGACTTTAAAAATACTATGAACCTTTCTGACATAAGCCATATTTCAACTATGTGCACTACTGTTAAAGAATTACTACCATAAACCCAGATTTTATTCTAAGATACGATTTTCACTTGTTTTTTTTTTTGTGTGTGTGTGGTTTTTTTTTGTAAAATTCTATTGACCAAACACTCTAAATCTTTACTGACCCCAAAGATTTCTTTTTACAATGTTTAAAAGAGGTTGACCTATTTGGGTTACTCTTCTCCACTTCCCATCTTGAACTGTACTTTAGCAAATTCAAGACAACCAGCAATTAGGTACAGCCAAGTGATTCATATGTCTCTTTTCTTCTCCCACCCATAGCTCGTTGCTCCTCACATTTATGGAAGACAAGTCTGTACGAGCTGCTCCTAGAAGGAGCACCCAACAGCCTGGCCTCTGCTACTCACCTTCCCCTTCTTGTCCCTGACTCAAAACTCTGCTCATTAAGTGAGAATCTCTCCCATTAGTAATTAGTGCATCTTCCCAAGCCCTCAATCATGAAAGCAAAAAGCATTATTCTGCAGGGCTTTTGTTCACCCCTTATTTTCAGGGGAGAAGCAGTCATAACACGAGATAACATTCTTTTTAACACAGTGTGCTGAGTGACCTCAGATGGTCACTTCCTACTCTATCTAGGACTGGGAGCCTGGGTTTAATGACCTATATTAGAAACTCCAGACTCCTGGTGTGGTGCTGTAGGATATGCACTGGACCAAAAGGTAAATTTAAACTGCAAGGTAAGCAGTTCAAAACCATTTCCGTTCCTCAGAAACCCAATTCAGGGCTGTTGTGAGTCAGAGTCAACTCAACAGCACTAAAACAAGAACAACGTAAGAAACGATCAGAACAGCAATGATTCTGAAATGCAGTTGAATCTACATTTCTTTCAAGGTTTAAAAAGCAAGCATTAAAATCAACTTTAAATTGTTGTATTATAAATGCTTAACTCATCAAAAATAGTTGTGCACACAATTATATTTGCATATTTATATATTAGAAGTTATACACAATACAAATAAACTATAAAGAGAAAATAAAATTATTTTGTTACTGTTGTTAAGAAGAAAATTAGAAGTACTTTAATCATTGTTACTTTTTTTTTTTTTTCTTTTTTTTTTGGCCTATCTTATAAGATATACAGAGTCCTGGTGTGGCACTGTGGGTTAATGTGCTGGACAGCAAAGTAAGTTTGAACCACAGGGTTGGTGGTTCAAGCTTACCAGTCGCTCCTTGAAAACCCTGTACAGGGTAGCTACAGCTCCGTACTTATCAACAACAACATAAGACATATACTATAAGTATCTTGTTGAATAATATATTACATATGCATGTATTTATAAATAAATACGTGTATATTAACACCCCATGATCTACCACTTTTCCCTTCTGGGGATGCACGGTCAATACTTTTTAAAACACTGGCCGTATGTTAGACTCTTACAGACTCCCAATGCTCCCCTTGACCTTTTGGAGCCCAAGCTCCAAAATTACCCTCTCTGGCACTATAAGATCAGCACTGGACTGTGCTGTTGGCAGTTCAATCCCACCAGATGCTCCTTGGAAGCCCTAGAGAGGGGTCGCTCTGAGTTGGAACAGACTGGACCGCACTTAGCAACCAGACAACTGGTAACACAATTCCCTACCAGCAATTATCAGGCCATCTTAGAATAAGGGGGAAACCACTTGGGCTTGGCACAAAGAAGGTGTCGGGTCAGTACAGGATTCAAATTCAGATTACACCACTTTATGCCGTCCTGGTATGGTGCTGTAGGTAAAGCAGTGGACTACTCGGTGGCTCAAACCCACCAGCCACTCCTTGTAAACCTTATACAGGGTCTCTATGAGTTGGAACCGACTCGACTGCATTTAACACTAACAACAATGGCGCAGGCAAGTCTCTGAACCACCCCACCTGAAACACCTCGCAGCACTGTGGGTGGATTGTGTGGGAAGGCCTAGCAGATAGCAGAAGGCTAACTGAAGACCAGCAGCTGTATCATTTACTTCAGGGAGTTGGTGGCCGAAAGGTTCTGAAAGACTGAGAGACATGTCTATCGATGTCCATTTAAAGTGTCATTAGCCCCAACGACACTGGAAGATGGCCATTCAGGCTGTAGACTGATCTTTTCATTGACATGTTGATGTGAAGAGCAATATATAGATGACAAGCTAGAAATTCTCCAGAACTTACATGACTAAGAGGAACTGCTGCCAACTTCTCCGAATAAGATTAGGGAAGAAGGCGGCACGCCTATAAAGTGTGGGGGGTCTCAAGGACCTGGCTAGGTACCACCTCCGCTGATGGCGGCAGGTGACAGCTCCAAGCATCTTCAGAACTCCACTTTGGACTTTCTCCTCAACTTGCCCCAACCTGATAACATCCTCGCATCCGGCGTGCTTTACCTATATACGCCTAGGGCGGCGTGGTAGCAAGGTTCAGGTACCCAAAGACTCACTCCCAGCGCCCTACCCCCAGGGGCTGCTGGCAGGCGTAAGCGTGGAGGGACCCTCCCCATCACCCAAGGTCGCTGGCACGCACTGTCGCCGAGAGCCAAGCCCCGTGGTCTGGGGCCACTCGCACACGCGGATCTGGAGCCCGCTCTCGGCGCCTGGAGCCACGGACCCGCGTGGGGAGAAGCGGTCCCCCGTCGCCCTAAACGCAGGCAAGTGAGGGGAAGGACGTCGCCCCAGTTGCCAGGAGTCTCCAGCACACCTCCTGCTCCCAGCCTGGCCCGCCGCTCTCCCAGGACCTCACCTGGATGGAGTGGCCGCGGCCTGGGGCGGTGGGGCCCCCCACCAACTTGCAGTAGAGCTCGGGCCGGGGCCGTCCGCCGCCGGGCTCTCGCTCCCCGCAGGTGGCGGTGGCCCAAATCTTGGCCGCTTCGGCCAGGTTGAAGTAGGGCGGGTGCAGGCTGAGCCCAGCCGGGGCCTCGGGGTCCGGAGCAGCGTCACACAAGACTTGGAGCAGCAGCAGCAGCAGCGGGAAAAAGCGCAGTGGCCAGCCCCGCGCGCACTCAGCCGCCGCCATCCCGTCCGTAGGTCCGCCCGCCTCGGGCGCCCGCTCCGAGATTCGCGGTTTGGCGTCGGCACGGCTGCAGTTTTCAGCTCGCCTTTCCTGGAGTAGCTGTGCGAGGAGCTAGCGCAGCCCAAGAGTGGGCGGTGCGGAGCCGCACCCCGGCTCCACGCGCCGGGCGCCTGCGGCGTGGGGGTGGCTGCTCCGATCGGAAAACCTGCGGCTGATGGAGCTGGCACCCGCCGGATCAGGAACTGACAGCGGCCTGCGCTGGGCGTCTTCTGTGTGTTTGCGGCGCGCTGGAAACTTCTCCGGCGGGGAAGGAGGAAGGCGTTCCCGGCTCCTGCCCAGGGCAGAACTCAAAGATACCTCCTCATATTCTCGGACCAGTCAGTAAAGCCAACTCCAGACCTCGGGCCAGAGAGGAGGCTTGCAGCGAATTTGGGTGAAATAGCAGAAGAAACTGCCACTGTCTGCTGAACTTCTCTATCAAAGACACGTATCCAACACTATGCACCAATAATCTCTATGACAGTGCAGAACTGGAAATTGGGAATATAGAACTTGCACATTTAAAGACAAGCGATTATACAAATTGTGGTTCGTTATGCTGTTGAAATACAGTGGAGGAAATCCGTTAGATGCCTAGTCTGTTAATATTTTCAGTCAAACTCAAATGTGTGAATTACTCTAGCTCCCAAGCCATCATCAAGGGCAGAGGATACTCCCCCCAAGACAAAGACTGGATCTATATACAGGACTGCTCACAAAAATAGAACCATATAGGTCCTCAAAGCAATTAGAGGAAGCATTGCTGCAATCCCTGAGTGGGCCGCTAACCGCAAAGGTTGGAGGTACCCGTTCGCTCAGAGCCACCTTGGAAGAAAGTCCTGGCAATCTAGTTCCAAAATATCAGTCATTAAAACCCCTGGGAGCAGCAGAATTCTGCTCTGACATACATGGGGTCACCATAAGTAAGAGTGGACTTGACTGGCAATTGGTTGGCCATTGCTGCAGTCCAAGATGATCAGAAGTGCCCCAGAGGAAGTAGAGTTTGAACTTTCAAGACTGGAGAAGACAAAAGAGGGAGAGCATGAACCCTTCTTGAGTAAAGTTACAGAGATAGGGATACAACGGTACAGGTCAGACAGAACTGATTGGTTGTTTATTGAACGCTGGAATATGTTGTAGGAAAAACTGTGTTTATTTAATTTTCCATTTAGTCTTCTAAATAAAAAAAGATAATTTGTGTGCATAACATCAACAAAAGTCATAAAGACTGATCATTGACTACATGAAAATCAAAATTTAAATGTACACATCAAAAACACCATATCAAAATAAGAAAAGAAATGGAGAGTAGACTCTTTGATGTATAAAACACTTTGAAAGTAGGCGAATGCCCTGGACTAAGAACCATAACACACAATTTATAGAAAAAGAAATACAAAAAGTTTTACTTTTCTAGAAACTGAAATATAAAGCAACAAAGAGACTGCTTATTCACCGAACACACTGGCATAGGTTTTCCTTGTTGTTGTTTTTGTTTTTTTTTTTGTAAGAGTCATAGTCTCAGGGGTTCCTCCGGTCTCCATCTACTTAATTAGCTTTTTCTCCCACTCTATCTAGGACTCCTGGTGTGGCTCAGTAGGATCAGCCTTGGATTACAAACCACAGGTCATTGGTTCAAATCCAACTGTTCCTTGGAAACCCTATTCAGGATCACTATGAGTTAGAAACACTTAACAGCAAAGACAACAATCCAGGACCTTCTAGTGTGATCCCTTTCAGAAGACTAGTTCTGCTCAAGTTGAGATAAACCAAAAACCAAATCTACTGCCATTGAGTCGATTCCAAATCATCACAACCCTATAGGACAAAATAGAACTGGTTCCTAGGGTTTCCGAGTCTTGCTAGAGGATGACTGTTTTGTCTTTCTCCCTTGAAGCAGCTAACAGGTTCCAACCATCGACCTTTTGGTTCACAACTCAATGTTTGACCCACCATGCCACCAAGTTTTCTTCAAACCAGCTGTCATCGAGCAGACTCTAGCTCATAGGAAAACCTATGGAGCAGAGCAGAACTATGTCCTTAGGGTTTCTGAGACTGTATCTTGGAGTAGCTGGTGAGTTTGAACCACTGACCTTGAGGTTAGTAGCCTAATGCTTACCTAACTGCAGCACCAATGCTCTACAAGTTGAGATGGTGGTGGTGGTGGTGGTGTGCCTCTGAATCAGTTCCAACTCATAGAGACCCTGTATAGGTTTTGGGAGGCTGTAAATCTTTAGTGGAGCAGACAGTCTCATCTTTCTCCCAAGAGTGGCTGGTGGATTCAAACTACTGACTTTGCAGTTAGCAGTCCAATGTGTGACCAACTATGCCACTAGAGAGTCTTCAAGTTGAGATTTTGTTGTTCTTAAGTGCTGTCAAATGGGTTCCAACTCATAGTAACCCTGTATGGGGTTTCTAAGGAGCAGCTGGTAAGTTTGAACTGCCGAACTTGTGGTTCAAACCTACCTTTCAGTCCAATGCCTCCCCTAAAGTGCGACACCAGGACTCCATCAAGTTGGGATGGTCCTTCCTAAACAGATGAAGGGAGATAGAGGAAAAGTGAATAAAAGAGATTTAGCATACTTTTCAAAGAAGTCTTTCTAAACCCATGATTATTTGAAGGAAATCATTCAACAAATGTTTTCAATAAATGCTTTCAAAAAGGATTCCAAAATTATGCAGATATGCAAATATGAAAACAAAGGCTAAATTCAAGAAACTGTTCTCTACACAGCCCAGTAACTCTAGCACAATGCCAGGTAGTTTCATTCAGATGTTTTGATGATATCAGAAACTGCAGTGGCCCAGATGACCGTCTATTGAGTTAAATCCAGGCGTCTTCCTTATAGCGCTTTGTGCTCTGCTATAAAAGGCAACATAGCTTACAGGTTTATATGATTTTACAAAAACAATATTTCTCTTTGATGTGTCTTATTTCTTCCCATAGTCAGATGACCTGAAATAGATATTGCAGTTTAAAAATAAATTTGTGATGTCTTAATAGAATAAGTGTGTTTGCCCACTTAGAACAACTTTAAAGATAAGCAAATAAAAACTATATATCTAAAGTTAATATTTACTAGTAAATTTCTCTCTCTAAAGAGTGTATATCCAAAGCAAATATCCAGGGAGCACATATCCTCCACAGATGTAGATACAGGAGATATAAAAGTTGTATACTGGCAAGAATGATACTTTGCAGGGAGGAGAGGGTATTGCTTTCAAGTTCAAATGAAGGACATTATAAACAAGTGCTTTTAAGCACTAGAGTGAGATGCAAATACAATGCACAATTGTCATTGTAAGGCAAGATGAGTGCTAGGGTTTAATATGAAAGAGGATGTTTAAAGAAATTAATTTACTTGGCCACATTTTGACAAAAATTCAAACAATAAACAGGGTACAAGGTTTCCAACTCCCAGTTTGTATACTAAAGGAAAGTCACCTGAGTGAGGACATCCATGGCATGACAGCTGTAGAAGCATTCTGAGCACAAGAGGAGCTACTGGTGTACTTAGCGGGAGACGGGTGGGTGCAACCAACATGTATAGTTACATATAAACAAATCCAAACTAACACAAGTGAATTTGGGGATTGGCTAGCTTTCCAATACTTCAAAAGTGAGTCATGCTTCAATTTGCCCTTCAGATCTTAAGATGAAAATGCAGATTACCATACATATTATTGTTGAAAAGAATCACCGTAAGAGTTAAGAACCTAGTATGCCAGGTCATATTGTCAGGAGGGACCAGTCACTGGAGAAGGATATCATGTTTGGTAAGATGGAAGGTCAGAGAAAAAGAGGAAGACCCACAATGAGATGGAATGGCCAACTGGCAGCATTGACGGATTCAAGCGTGGCAACAGTAGTGAGGGTGGCCCAGGATCGGGCAGTGTTTCGTTCTGCTATGCATAAGGTCGCTATGGGTCGGTACCGACTCGATGGCACCTAACAACAACAACAATGCCAGGATGATCAACTGCATATTGCAAAGACATAATCAAACCCAAAAATGCTCTCTAGTACAGACCCTAGCATTATACTTATGGTGATGGTCCTTGAGGTGAAAGCATGAATTTCTCTCGTCCTCCTTTTTTACACCCTCTCCCCAATATGATGCCTTTTTTGTTCTGACCATCAGAAGTCCTTGCTGTTAAGTGCCGTGAAATCAGTTCTGACTCATAGCAACCCAGCATAGGGTTTCTGAGGAGCCAGCTAGTGGGTTTGAACTGCCAACCTTATGGCTAGCAGCTCACAACTTGTCCTACAGCACCACACCAGGAGGCTATCAGAAGTCCTAAGACCTACTTTTCATTACTATTCTTCTTAAAATTGTATTTCTGAACTACAACTTGCTGTTGGTTTGGTTTCACTTCAGAAGTAGGTAAGTTTCACAAGTTTTTCTTTTACGTCATCATTTCATGTTCCAAGGGAATAAAGACCAGTTGTTATGTCATAGATGGCCACTTACCAGCTTTTAAAACCTTAGGCACTACACAACGAACTAGGAGGTAAACCAGAAGTATTAAACACGGTATTAGGCCATGTTATTAGTTATCTGGAATGTTCCATAAAACTATGGCCCTAAACCTTTCCAAATCATGGAACCAGATGCCATGAGGTATTTGCCAACTGTGTTTCTTAACAAATAGTTTTCATGTTATTAAAGACCTACGTAGGGAGAGAAAGGGAGAACTAGAAACTTTACCATAGAAAGCTTGTAAGTCTGCCTTCAACCCATAACTTGGAATACCTAAAATGGGGCTACAACTTTCCCAGTGAAGGAGGCTTCCTGCGGAGCCTTTGCATTGCATAAGACCATTTGTGGAATCCTGAACCCCATCCAGAATCTTCTGAGGTGGGAAATCTCCACTTAAAAGGACAAGCAGACCAGCCTAGAGTGACTACAAGAACAGAAGATACTTCTTGAAAGAAAGACCAGCAGGAAAAATCAAAAACAATAACAGTAGTCCAGCTGACTACTACAAGA